ATCTTCAGAGGACATCATGTAATAATTCGGATCAGAGGAGAAAACATTATTAGGAGCACTTGACAAGAACACTATTCTATTTTCTTGGATATGCCTTAAAATAACTAGTGGGCGCACTGAACCAGAAAGGTAAAAGCATTTACGTATCATGTTGCAAGAACACCGGCATAATGGAAATACTTTGTTATTTTTTTTTCTTGAATTTATTAGAACTGAAATTAAGCACAGGCATGGAAAATCGGGTATGTGATAGTTTCTCTTTATTAACATAAATCAATACATCAGATTATTAACAATAATACTAAAACTATGACGACTGACTTTTCCTTCAAACTCAAACCACTACTTTATATATTTGTAAATTTAGCCTGCAGTCTTAGACTCCCGTTGAGAGTTTCTTTCCCAAGCTAGGAGTTATTACTCTCGTTGGGAGTTTATAACTCCCTCTGGGAGTTCAAGGCTCCACCACGCCACGATGATCATTCCCAGGCTATACCCAAATAAGAAAATAATAAAAATAATACTGATAAAAAAATAAAGAAAATTCCCGGGCATAACAACGTTAAACATCTAATCAACTTTAAACAGCCTAAGTATAAAAAGCTCGCTACCTTCGCCATTACTCGCCAACTACATTGGCAAGCTATTAAAAATTTTGTGAGGCAGGCAAGGCTTTAAATGACCTTGCCAACCACCTACTATCTAATCAAAATTCGTTCGAGCAAAAAATTATTTTACCGAGTATATTAAAAGAATTTATTATAAATGCAAAACCTACAGCCATTTATTTTTTTTTTATTTTATAAAAAATGATAAAATTAAAGAGTATTAATAAAATGAAGTTTTATTTATGGAATGTGAGTTGCCAGACACTCACGTTCGTTTCACATCCGTAATCATAAATTTGATTTGTAAAACATCTATTTTATTTCTGGAATATAATAATTATGAAACACCCTACTATATAATTTCATTAAATACTATTGATTTATTAAAGATACTTTTAAATAGCTTTACATAATTTACGTTTAATGAACTCATCATCATTTTCTTTCAGAGGTTGGTTGTTGTTTTTTGAGGTAACAGTAACTGATTCCCCTCCATCGTGATACTCTTTTTTTGCATGTTTTTTAAAGTCAGAATTAAGTTTTCTATATTTGTAAAAGAAATCTCGAGTTGGTGTTCAAGTCGGGGATATTCTTTTATCAACTTTGGTGTTGCAGATAGGTATTTATAAACGTTACGTTTATCGATGCTACCCATTACCTGCGTAATGGTTATACGAAATCCTTTTACTTTATTCTTGACGTACCAATGACCCTTATGTAAATCCGTATTGATGCTAAATCTATTGTCTAAAGTATCATATACATCGCTATCAGTAAACCGATATAACCATTTGTTTCCAGTAGTTTCACTAAATTCATCCCTCATGGTCCATTCTTTTGTTGTTGCTGTTGAACTTCGACTTTTCTTATTGCCAATGGCAATTGCTTTGGAACTTAGGCTATAGTCATTTTCATGAACTTTTGTAGAAGTTATATTATTATTAGCTTTATGTGGACTATGTTTTTTCTTTTGAATAATAACGCATGTATTATCGGACTTTGGAATCGGAGAGGAACAGATTTCTAACGAATCGATATAATAGCAAATGAATTTATTTAAAGACGGACACTGGTTGCTGAGAAACTCTGTCACCCCACAATTATTTAAGTCGATCTCAAACTCTAAAGTTGAGTTGGCATTATTTTTAACACTAGGTTTGACATTTGCCCAGAGTTTCATAATAATGTTAAAGCTTTGAAATTTCTTTCTATTTTTAATTCCAATTAATTTTTTATTCTCAAATTCGACTTTACCTTCCGAAGAAATTAAAATTTTACCGTCAACCTCGTCGTCACTCTCACCGCCATTATCATCACCGTCATCATCGCTATCACCACCGTCATCACCACCGTCATCATCACCACCATCTTCGGTTTTATCGTCTTCACCACTGTCAGCATCATGATATTCGCTATCATCATCATTATCATCACTGTTTTCATCATTTCCTTCACGTTCGACTGCATCACTATTAGTTGTTGAAAACTCACCACTTATGTTACCACTCGAAATTGATGTATTGTTTGGTCCCCATCGTTATCATTGGCCTTCACTAAATGATATGCAACTTCAAATTCATGATTAAACAAACCTGAAATTTTTTCCATAATTGATACCGTGAGAGGGTTAGCAGCCCAACAAGCAATATAAGGCATGGAATAATCATTCTGAAATTTGGGACCCACTGCATATACAGCATATGAATCCAAAATATTATCAATTTTATCTTTCTGGTTTTTAAGTAGTGAGAATAATCGTTCAGCTTCAGTAATTGCGATGTCAGAAGGCCCTTGAAAAATAGTTGAATATACTGATATGTACTCAGAGACGTTATTCCGAACTTCTGATCTATTACCTAGTTTCATACCGTCTATGTTATTACAAGTCTTGGACTCATCATTAATAATAACAACATGCGCAGAATATCTGATGCGGTCGAGGGTCTCAATGCTCACAGAGACGTTATTCCGAACTTCTAATCTATTACCTAGTTTCATACCATCTATGCTATCACAAGTCTTGGACTCATCATTAATGGTAGCAATGTGCGCAGAATATCTGATGCGGTCGAGGGTCTCAATGCTGTCTATTGTTTCATAATAAGGCGGAGGTGATCCAACTTGTGGTGTCGTCGTAGATTCTAATTCTTTTTCCAGATCATTATTTCCTTTTGCACAGATAGTATTTGATCAAGCATTTATGACCTTCTGTATTGGATCCTAACCTATTTCTTAAATCGGTTAAGTTTTTGCTATGATAACCCTTAATATCTTTTCCGTCTACGATCATTCTATGGCTTTTAAAAGTTTAGTTAAGACATTTACTAAATCATCTTTAATCTTCAGAGACAATTCAATTTGCAATTTTTTTAATTTGTTCCTTTTTGCATATAATTCATTTTTAATTACATAGTTGGTATTTCTTTCATGTTTATCTTTGGTATTTCTTTCATGTTTACCGTCGGCATTTCTTTCTTGTTTACCGTTGGCATTTCTTTCTTGTTTAAAATTTGGAGAACTCTTTTGCTTTGGTAAACTTTTCACTAATTTGTCAGTCCTATTATTATATATAAGATCTGTCTTCGATTGTTTTCTATCAAGGCTTGGGCAATTTTTTATATTTATTTCGGTTAAACCAGAATTATTGGTACAATTGAT